AAATCTGAGTTTATAATAGTGATAATAACATTATTATTCTTTTAGTTATTTTTGCCCTCCCAGTCTCTTAAAAAATGTAAAAGCCATTCTTAGCTTACGGGCTGTACAAAAGCAGGCAGTGAACCAGAGTTTGCTGACCTTTGATTTGAAACAAATTCAGACTCCTTCCCATGCCTTCCAGGCCCCTTGTGACCTGATTTCTGCATTTCCAGACCTCACCTAAGGCTCTCCCTCTGCCTGTCATGCTTCCGTTCTGGCCACTCGGTGGAGTATAAGCTCAGCCGTCTTCTCAGAGGCCCTCCCTGGCCACCTCATTCAAAATAGGTCCCACACACATTCACATTATGTACCTATGACATTTGAAGAGTTTATGCTTGTTCCTTCATCATAGACTGTGAGTTTCATGATGTGGTGCCCAGCCCATGAAGTATTTGTTAAATGAATGAACAAAATACCTTCCATAGCAGGTACTGTTATCATATTTTACAGATAGGAAACAGACCCCAAGGAAGGAGAGGAGCCTAGAATCACAGCAGAAAGTGGTGAAAGTTTAATGCTAAGTCCAACAGACTCACATATTATCCACGACACTTGCTGTTCCCAGGTTAGGAGCGAGATGGGGAGGAAGGTGTGGGTACTGGGCAAATCAGGGCTGCAAGAGTCTATTCAATACCCTTGCCTCTGCGGGAAGAAACCAAAGACCCTGAGTCAGCCCTTCCTTCAGAACCTGAATTCAGGACAGCCGGGACTATTGATTTTTGTCTCTATAGAACAGGGGTCCCCAACCTATGGTAGGTTGTATAATTATTTCCTTACATATTACATTGTAACAATAACAGAAATAAAGTACACGATAAGTGTAATGAGCTTGAATCATCCAGAAACTGTACCCACTCCCCTGGTCCGTGGGAAAATTGTCTTCCATGAAAACGGTCCCTGGTGCCAAAAGGTTGGGGACCGCTGCTTTAGAGCACTCGCCTACCTGGTAGCTCACGTCGTCCCCACAGAGGCTGCCTGTGGCTGCTGTGCATGAACCGCGATAGCATGGAGCTGAGCCCACAGGCTGTTACAAGGCACGTAATTCATTTTGTGTGAAGTTCAAGAATAGGCAACACTTGTGGGTGACGTCAGGAATCCCAGCAGTAGTCTCTGGGCTGGGGTGCCTTGCCTGGAAGGGCCACTGTGGGGGAGCTATCCGTGGTGCTGAAATGCCCCAGCCCTGAGCTGTACAATCTGGTAGCTATGATTCGTTAAATTCGCCCATGCCCCTCCTGGCCTTTGCATTTGCGTTCCATCTACCTGAAATGTACTCCCCGAGTTGTTCCCTCTATTCAGGACCCAGCTGAGATGCCAACTCCTCAGAGAACTGACCGTTTCTTTCTTTACCGTCTGCCTCCCCCACAATAATACCAGCTGCACGAAGGCAGGCCATGCCTGTCCTTGCCAGTGCAGTATCCAATCTGGAACAGTGCTGGCTGCCTGTAGTGAAAGAAAGATACGAAATGCTCGTTCCGGCTGCTGGCAGCCTCAGGGCAAGGTCTGAGAAACCACAGGGACGTGGCCAGAGACAGGCCAGTGAGCACCACCAGCTCCCACAGGCAACCACACAAGCCCCCGAACAAGGCCTTGCCCACACAACGCCACCGTCCTCCGTGTCCCGGGCCAGAGTCTCCTGCTCAGTGTCCCGCCCACACACACACACACACACACACACACACACACACACACATATATACACAGAAGACATATTCTCACACGCAGTCCAGGCATACATGTGTCACACAATCACAGTCACAGTCACTGTAACATCACACACAATCTGGGAACTTCAAACTGTGTCAGGTCCTCCCCGTCACCTCCAAGCCTCTGTCTCACAGGCACCGTCATAGACGGGGCAGTCACAGCTGCAGGACTATCACGGCGACTAGTCCACAGATTGCACATAGTTAAACACAGAGCTGACCATGCACGGAAGTACAGAGAGTGGCACACACAGGCAGACCCCCCGTTCACATTCCCTTACACACGTGATGTGGCATTTTTATGTGTGGTTACGGTGAGTCACACAGAGCTACACACGTCGCACACCCCTCACACAATCACTCACACCCCTTAGCCCTCACACCAGCACCCTCAGCCTGCACCTCCACGCACCACGCACAGTCCTGCTTCTCGCGCACTCCAAGACCGCACCTCCACTCATCTCTACCTCGGCCGTATGCCGTCTGGGCCGCGTCCCCATGGACTACAACTCCCAGCGTGCCCTGCTGGCTCAAGATGGTGGGGTCTCGGCGCTGCGCCTTGTGGGAATTGTAGTCCAGGTAGAGCCGTGGGGCTGCGGCGCGGGGCGTGCTGGGAGTTGTGGTCCCGGTGAGCGGCCGCGCGGGCGAGCGCGTCACTGCAGGCGCCTCCGGAAGGGTCCACTAGCCGCGCTGGTGAGCGTTTGTGTGGGGTCCCCGTCCTGATCGCGACCAGAGGGGAACAGCGCAGGCCGCGAAGCCGCGAGCGCCAAGGGCGGCACAAGCAAGATGTGCGGGACCGACGGACGGACTGTGAGCGCGGGACCGACACACCGGTGGTGGGACGGACCGACCAGTTGTATAGCAGGTGTCCGAGGGGTTGTGCTTGTGTATCCGGCACCTCGCGAGTGCGTGTATCTGCCTGGCGGGTCGAGGATGTGAGGCTGAGCGACAGGTTGGGATCGTCCGATACGTTGCGCGCCTGGGTGCATTCTGGAGTCTGCGCCTGAGACCGCAGGTGCGTTCACAAGGACGGAGGTAGCCGGAGGGGCCGAAATCGGGTGCTCCACGGAGAGTTTACCAACATGTGACAGGATTTGTGCTTTGCCGTGACTGCAGCTGAAATCGGGTGACCAGCGGTCACCCCGCCGCGTTTGTGGGTCTGTCCCCCGGTGTGGGCTTAAGCGCGGCGGGGGCCGCGGAACCGTGCACGTGCTGCGTGCTCTCCGCCTGCCGGGCCTGCGCCGGATGCTCGTCGTGAGCCACCTCAGGCGCCCTCACGGCAGCGCCCCGCGGCGGGCAGCGCCTCAGGCCGGTGTCAGCCGGGGAGGGAGGGAACGGACCGCTCTGCTGGCGGGTTGAGCAGCCCTGGCGGGGGCCTGCGCCTGACGCGAGCCGCGCGCTGGCGCGGGCTGGGGCGGCTGAGGAGGGCTCGCGTGCACGTGTTCCGAGACCGCCTTCGCACCGGTACCCCGAGTGCCGCGGCGGGTGGAGGCGGTCGCTGCGTTCGCTGTTGCTCCTGCCTCCCTGGCGCCTCCTCCCCGTCCCCGAACAATTCCGGACACTTCGTGGGTGATCGTACCCAGCCCTCCTGGTCCCTTCTTTGCTCGGTGCCCCTGGGCATTGTGACCTCTCAGCACGCCCGGCCTCTCCGGGGAAACGGAAGTGTGGAGCGCCGAGGCGGGGACACAGACCTAGGGCACTTGGGGAAAGGACTTGCCTGCGACCAGGTGTCTGGGGAGGCTCCTGAAGGAGGTAACAGCCGAGGTGAGGCCTAGAGACCCAGGGAAGTTAGTCAGGTGCAAAGGGGGATTTCGGGACAAGAGAAAAACGGGGGCGAAGGCTGAGGTACGCGGGTAACGGCAAGGGCGAGGCCACGAGAGGCCCGAGTGAGCTGACGGTGGAGTTAAAGGGCTGGAACACGTCTTCGGTAGCGGTTTCTTGCCGTCATTGAAAGGTTTCAGGATCGGGGTCTTGTTTGACCAGCGCTCCCTCCTCCCTGTGCCCGAGGCCCTGGTTTCTCAGGCGTCCTGCATCTCTGTCCAGGCTGGCTTCCCTGAGCCGTGGCACCAAGCAAGTGAGTGTCTGGGCTGACAGTTAAGGGAAGAAGAAGGAGAAGAGCTGTGAATATTTATAACTTGTGGGGATCGTGGATGGGGAGAGGGAGAGGCCAAGTCCTTGAATAAAAGGTAGCACGTGGGCCGGGCGCGGTGGCTCACGCCTGTGATCCTAGCTCTCTGGGAGGCGGAGGCGGGAGGATTGTTTGAGCTCAGGAGTTTGAGATCAGCCTAAGCAAGAGTGAGACCCCGTCTCTACTAAAATTAGAAAAATTAGCCGGGCATCGTGGCATGTGCCTGTAGTCCCAGCTACTTGGGAGGCTGAGGCAGGAGGATCCCTTGAGACCAGGAGTTCGAGGCTCCGGTGAGATATGATCACACCACTGCACTCCAGCCTGGGCAACAGAGTGACGCTCTGTCTGAAAAAAAAAAAAGACATTTTGATAGAAAGAAAGCGAGACCACATTCATTTAACTTTTTTTACAGTGTATTGTTATAATTGTTTTATTATTACTTATTGTTAATCTCTTTACTGTGCTTCATTTATAAATTAAACTTTAGCATGGATCTCTCTCTCTCTCTCTCTATATATATATATATGTGTGTGTCTATACAGTGGAATGTGATTTAGTCATGAAAAGGAGTAAAATCCTGATACACGCTACAACATGGCTGAACCCAAAAAACATGCTCAGTGAAAGAAGCCAGACACAAAAGGTCATATATTGTATGATTCTATTTATATGAAATGCCAAGAATAGGCAAATCACTAGACACAGAAAGTAGATTAGTGGTTGCCAGGGGCTGGGAGGAAGAGAAATGGGGAGTGACTGCTAATGGATTTCTTTTTAGGATGATGAAATGTTTCTGGATTTGGACTTTGGTGATGGCTGCACAACCTTGTGAATATACTAAAACCACTAAAAGGGTAAATTGTACGGTATGTGAATTTTTTATACATACATTTTTTAAAGTAGAAAAGGGAGGGGGACTTCATAACCCCACAACCCAGAGGAACCCACCACTTACAGGAAAACGTAATACTTTCCAAGGTTTTTCTGTCCTTTTTTGGGAGGGGGATGGTATATAGCAAAGACTTGTCTGAATTCTCTATATAAATTCTTATCTCAACTGTTTAACACTATAGCAAAAGCATTTTCTTGTGTCACTAAAGACTCATGAGCTTCATTTTAACTGCCACAAAAGATTCAAGTCCTGTAGATTTCATAACTTAATTTACCTACTGGTCTCTCCCTTGTCTTAGGCATTTAGCTTTGCTTTCCTTTTTAAAGTTCATTATTAATAATGTTTTAGCATTTACCTTTGTCTAATCTTCAGAAGATTTCTCTTGATCTGGCAGTTTGGACCTGGGTGTATAGTGTTACCCCCACCTCAGGAATCATCTGGAAATGTGTGGAGCGACTGGAGGAGGGGCTCACTTTTATCCTTGGGTGGGCCCTACAGTGTGAGGGACCGGCCTCAGAAGGAAGTATCGTCCCCTTCTGAATGTCAGTAGCACCCCCGTCTAGAAATGAGGCTGGATTCTGACAAGTAGAATTAATACTGAGCCAGAGGACATGGCCATTTTAAAGCTCTTACAATATATTGCCAGATTGTTTGCCAAAGATGTTTTAATTGACCACCCCCACCAGCAGTGCATGAAGCTGGCTTCGCACCAGTCCCTGTCTGCATTCAGTGCTCACAGTTCCTCTAGAGTTTGGAGAGGTCATGGTGAGAGGCAGCCCCACGTGGAGGAAAGACCACAGGACACCGGGGAGCCCACGTTTAAACCCCAGCTCTGTACCCACTGGTCAAATGACCCTGGGAACACAGTTTCCCTAACTTTTAAAATGAGCGTGGCAATACTGACTCACAGGGTGGTGGCAAGGGCTGAAAGGGTTAACAGATGCAAAAGGCTGGTGTGGCCGGCACCTAGCGGGTTCCCATTGACTTACGTCCTGTCCTGTCATGCAGTGTACCCAAACCCATCACAGTGATCTGTCGTTGTGTCTCTCTCCTTCCAGTGAGGTCATCGAGCACAAGACCCACATCTTCCTTGTCTTTGCATCCCTGAGACAGAGCTGGACATCAAGGAGGCACTGAATGGGGGTGTGTTGAACAAAATTGTTACGGATGTATGTGCTCAGCAGCACCGTAGGTACCAGAGAGAAAGCAATGAGCTAAACAAAATACCCTCCCTGAAGGTGCTGACACTGCATTTGGGGGCAAGCAGATAGTAAACAAGTAATCACGTGAGTGTATCATACACCAGGTGGCGAAGAGTAATAAAACATAAAGGGCAGGGGCACAGAGCCTCTCTGAGGCATCTTTTGTATAAAGGCCTGACTTAAATAAGGGAGAGAACACCCAACAATGACAAAATGCATGTTATGTTTTTAAACAGCTTTATTGAGATATGATTCACATACTATAAAACCCACGATTTTAAAGCATGCAATTGGGTGGTTTTTAGTATATTCACAAGGTTGTACAACCATCATCACTATCTATTATAATTCCAGAACATTTTTTATCATCCCCAAAAGAAATTCCTGTCCTCATTAGCAGCCAATCCCCATCCTCTTCTCTCTGCCATCCCCTAGCAAACACTGATTTGCTTTCTGTTTCTGTGGATTTGCCTATTCTGGACATTACATATCAATGGAACCACATAACATGTGGTCTTTTGTGTCTGGATTCTTTTCCTTAGCATAATGTTTTCAAGGTTCATCCATGTTGTAGCATGAATCAGCACTTCATTTCTGTTATGGTTAATAATATTCTATTGTATGTGTATACAGCATTTTATCCATTCACCAGTCGATGGCCATTTGGATTGTTTCTGCTTTTTGGCTGTCATGACTGATGCTGTTATGAACAGTTGTGTACAAGTTTTTGTGAGGACATATATTCATTCCCTTGAGTATACACTTAGGAGTGGAATCGCTGGGTCATGTGGTAACTCTGTGTTTAACCTTTTGAGGAACTACTAGACTATTTCCCACAATGGCTATACCATCTTACATTCCCACTAGCAGTGTGTGAGGGTTCTACTTTCTCCATATTGTTACCATCCAACCAGGTTCTTTGCCCGCTACTCAAGAGGAAGCCAATACACTGAGACAGTAGGGTTTACAGCAGAGAAAGAGTTTAATTCTGCATAGTGCTAAGAGGGGAAATGGGAAGAATTTCTCAAATCCACCTCCCCGAGAATTTGGGAGACAGGGTTTTTAAGAATAGTTTGGCAGGCCAAGGATTAGGCAATTAGATTTGTCAATTGGCTAGGTTTGGGGGGAAATTATAGGGGTGTTGAAATCTTCTAGTGTTGCTTCAGTTCTTGGGGTCACAATTGCAGTTGAGTCAGTTTCTTGGTATGGGTCGCTGGTCTGAGTGGGTCAGCTAATCCACTGGAATGCGGACCTGGAAGATATTTTGGAAACTACTAGTTTTCAAAAGGGTGATGTTATCTACGGAGAGAGTTAAGAATCTTTATGACCACCAGCTATGGGACTCCAGAGTAGCAATTATGGACAGCGACTAATCATTATTATTATTTTTAGCTAGGCCTGTTCCTTCACAGTTTGGGACCCTTCCCCATTTCTGACCTTGCACCCCTTTATTGATTTGTGTAAAAGGTGATGTCAATATCCCTGCCAGCACTTGTTATCTGTCTGATTATAGCCATCCCAACAGGTGTGAAGTGATATCTTATTGTGGTTTTGATTTGCAATTCCCTGGTAGCTAGTGATGTTGAGCATCTTTTTTTGTATTTATTGGCCATTTGCGTATTTCCTCTGGGGAAAAGTCTAGTCAAATCCTTTGCTCATTTTGAAATTGGATTATTCATCTTTTTATTATGGAGTTGTTCTACATATAGGTCCTGATCAGATCTATGTTTGCAAATATTTTTTCCCATTCTTTGGGTTGCCTTTTCACTTTCTTGATGGGGTCCTTTGAATCACAAAAGTTTTTTATTTTGATGAAGTCTAGTTTATTTATTTTATCTCTTATCACTTTTCCTTTGGTGTCCTATCTAAAAAGGCTTTGCATTATTTTTTAAGTGCATGTGGAATATTAACCAAAATTAAGCACACACTGGGTCACAAACCACATCTCAGCAAATTTCAAAGGATTGAAATCCGTCATAGCATGTTTTCTGACCACAGAAGACTTAATCTAGAAACCAATACCAAAAAGGCCACTAGAAAACCTCCAATTGTTTGACAATGAAGCAGCAGAGTTATAAATAACCAATGGGTCAGGAAGAAACCATGACAGAAATTAGAAAATAAAATCTGACTGGCTTAAAAATCATAATAGAAAAAAAATGTTTTGAACTAAATGATAATAAAGATATAACATATCAAACTTGTAGTGTGCAGCTAAAGCTGTGTTTAGTGGAAAATTTATAGCCTTAAAATACATGCACTAGAAAAGAGGAAAGGGGCCAGGTGTGGTGGCTCACGCCTGTGATCCTAGCACTTTGGGAGGCCAAGGAGGGTGGATCACTTGAGCCCAGGAGTTTGAAGTTGCGGTGAGCTGTGATTGCACCACTGCACTCTAACCTAGGTGACAGAGTGAGACCCTGTCTTAAAAAAGAAACAGAAAAGAAGAAAGGCTGAAAGTCAGTTATGTTAGTATCAGTCTCAGACACTACAAAATAATGAGCAAATAAAGCGAGGGAATGACCATGCGGCCACTTGGGGAGTGTGTTTGTGAGATCGGGAGACAGACCTGGCTCTGTGGGGGAAGAGCACACCTTGAAACAGACTGGCTGCGGATTTGCCTAGGTTTATAGCTCCGCGCCCCGATAATCCTTCAGTAGCTGAGAGACTTCAGGCAAATCTTTTCCTCCTCTGTGTCTGTGTATCCATAAAATGGGAAGAAAGTTCCCAGCTCCTGATTTCGTTGTAAGTTTTAAATGAATTATTACATGCAAGCATTTAGAACAGTGCTCAGTAATGAATGGGTGCTGTCCTGACTATTATGATTGTGTCTCTGTGAGGCCTCAAGCCTGCGTTTGCCCTCCTCTGCAGGCGTGAGGCAGGGCCTTGGGTTCCGCATGATGATGAAGCCCTGACATTGCTGCAGACCCAGTTCCAAGGCTCCAGCCATCCTGTGTCTCCCCGAGTGCTGCTGCCCCATGGCCATCCCCAAGTGCTCCCTGAGTCTGGGGCCCTGGGCACAGAACGGCTTTCTTCAAGTGAAGGTGGAGGAGGAGGAGGAGGAGGCCGGCCTGTCCCAGGGCTGCGACCACGCTGCCCACCCTGAGGCTGCACGCCTGCGCTTCCGGCGCTTCCGCTATGAGGAGGCATCCGGCCCACGCGAGGCCCTGACCCGGCTCCGAGAGCTGTGTCGGCAGTGGCTGCAGCCCGAGGCGCACTCAAAGGAGCAGATGCTGGAGCTGCTGGTGCTGGAGCAGTTCCTGGGCACGCTGCCCCCTGAGACCCAGGCCTGGGTGGGGGCCCAGCGCCCCAGGAGTGGAGAGGAGGCTGCTGTGCTGGTGGAGGATCTGACTCAGGTGCTGGACAAGAGAGGTAAAGGGGAGCAAGGGGCAGGTGTTCGCAGCACGCCAGGGTGGGGCCCGCACGGGGACACGGGGGCACAGTGCTCTGGTGTGGGGCTGCTCATGCGCTCCCTCCCGCGGGTGCCTCGCCCAGACCCACACACTGTGCTAGACAGGTCCGTTTCGGTTGCAGGCAACTTAAACCCAGCTCAAGCTGGCTGAAGCAAAGAAGGGTACGGAGGCTTCAGACATGGCTACATCCAGAAGATCTGTTGGCAGCATCGGGACTCTTTCTCTCTCATTCTGTTTCTCTGTTGGGTTTTCCTATGTCAGCTTCATTCTCTTTTAGGTTCTCTCCCCACAGGGACAAAGATGGCCAGCAAGCGCAGGCTTATGTCTTACCAGCGTAGAAGCCCCAGGGCAATAACAGTAAGAAGTCCCCGGTCTGAGCTCCACTGGACCAGTTGGGATCTTGTGTTTGCCTTTGGCCACCAGATCCCAGGGACTGACAATGAGCAAGGGGCCGTTCCCCAGAGGAAAACCTGCTTGCTGGTGCAGACGCAGGGGCTGGGAGAGACAAATACCAGGTGTCCCTGTGCACCCTTTTTGGACCCACCCCGTGCTGGCCTCCAGGATTTGCGAGAGTCAGACCCACCCCGGCTGGGGCGGGCACTGTTACTCTGGGAGACCCACACAAACACCCCAGCCCAGGAGGTCCGGTGGGATGCGGGAAGAACTCAGCCATGGGACAGTCCAGAGGCAGGGTGGGGGTCTTGTCTGAGGGGGTTTTGGCCGGGTGTTGTTGTCACAGAGCAGGGGCCAAGCCGGGCACCAAGGAGGAGGTGAGCAGGGGGCATGGGGACATGGAGTTTGGACATAGCTGAACCATCAAGGCTCGGTAGATCTTGGCCTCCTCCTGGCCATGTGACTCTCTTGTGCCTCAGTTTACTTGTGGGTAAAGTAGGGATGATAATCAAAATATCTGCCTTGGTGTTGCTGAGAGGTAGAAACAAGGCGGTACCTGCGCAGTACCTGAAGTGGAGCCTGGCACAGACTAAACACACGGTAACTAAAGCTGTCAGGGCATCTCAGCTGCCTGAGAAACAGACCCCTCTGGAAGAGGTCGATGGGGTCCTTCCCTAGGCCCCATCGGCTGTGCCCGGGCAGACGTCACAGGGGCAGGGAGAGGAAAGTGGGAGGGCCTCATCCACCCAGGCAGTCAGCAAAGGCTTCAGAGAAAGGGCAAAGTGGCGCCAAGAAGGCAAGAAAGAGCCGGCAGTCCAGGCGGAGGCAGTGGCGGGGGCACAGGCCAGGCGGTGTGACGTTTCTGGAGTAGAGGAAGAAAGGGGGAGCAGGGGAGCACGGGGCGGTCCGTGGGCCTAGAGGAGAAGATTCCAGAGCTAAAATCCTGGCGTGGCCACTGGCTGACTGTGGACTTGCATGAGTTACTCAACCACTCTGACCGATCGTGTGATCTCGCACCAGTCGCTCAACACCTTCTCTCAGCCGGGCCTGTCTCGGGTCCGCAGCGGCGTCATCGCGGTGCCTGCCTCTCAGAGTGGGTTGCAGCGAAAATGAGGCAATGAAGGTTGCCTGTTGCACGCGGAGCCTGGCACGTAATGGGAGGGGCGCCAGTGGTGAAGCGTCCGTGTCTTACGGTCAGGAAACTAAGGCCCCGACAAGGGCAGGGTTGCTCAGGGCTCCAGAGCTGGCCAGTGGCAGAGCTGGGGCTTGAGCCCAGTTTCTGCACTCCCAAGCCCACTCTGGACACGAGCAACAGTTTTTCCACCCGTCTCTCTGCCTCCTCCCGGAATCCACCCAGTCGCTGTTGCCAGATTACCTTGGCACCCATCCAGGGCAGGTCAGTGCAGGCTAACCTCTACCGCACACAGTCCCGATCCTGGCACCCCTTAGCCACCGGCCGCCTTCACAGCTCTTTAAAGGCTGGGCCTGGGCCTCCAGGGGGGTCGGGGGGCCAGGTGGGCACATCACCCATTCACCCCCAACAGCGGTTGTCTACCTGGAGTTCTGCTTGTGGGAAATTTCACAATCAGGCATCTGGATTGAGTCCCTCATTCAGCTGGTGTTCACTGAGCACCTGTGGATCCATCTGGGCTCAGAGGCAAGATACTGAACGTGGGGGGCAGAGCCTCGACCTCCCAGAGGTCAGGGCCTGCCCGAGGGGACCCCTAACAAGGATCAGTTCCACATCAGGTTTTTTTTTTTTTCCCTGACACTTGAGCCAAAATCAGGAGCCTTGAAGAATGGAGAGTTTGAGGAGGACAGAAAAACCAGAACCCATGATGTGGTTTTATCTTATTGTTTTTTTAGATGAATGTAATTGCTTGGCAGGTGATGCAGTTTTACATGTGGGAGGACAGCCCTGCGCCCTTCTGTCATCCATGATGCCAAATGAGAAACTTCCCTTTGGAAACGGGGCCCCGGGGACGGGCCCCGTCTCCCCTCACAAGGCATGACAGGGCCCTCAGCAAAGGGAGGGCGGCTTGCTGAGGCTGTGGTTTGGGTTGTTTCAGGAGGGGAGCTGGAGGCTGAGCCTAAAGAGGCAAACTGTAAGCAGAGTGATTCAGAAGAGTCGGAGCCATCACCCACGGCCACCAAAACCCTCATGGGAGGTGCTTCCCTGGGAGCCGCATTTGCTGACGCCTGTGAATCTGAGGGCAGCTCAGAGAGGCACGCAGGACCCTCAGGGGAGACCTGGACAAAATCTGTTGCCCAAGAGGTGGATTTCAGGAAAACCTCAGGGACTTACAAGGATGCCCCCGCAGACCAGCCTGGCCGTGAATCTGGTACCTTGTGGAGCAGTTCCGGTGCACGGGCAAACTTCACCTCCCGAGAGAAGACTCCTGCGGAAGAGAAGTGCGATCGGCTGGCTGGTTATGGGACAGAGCCTCCACATACACACTCGGGAAGGAAGTCCTCCAGCTGTGGCGAGTGTACGAAGCCCTTCCAGAGCGCCTCGGCCCTTGAGGCACACAAGAAGAGCCACTCTCAGAAGACACCATTTGCCTGCAGCGAGTGTGGGAAGGGCTTTAGTCGAAGCACTCACCTGGCCCAGCACCAGGTGGTCCACACGGGGGCGAAGCCCCATGCGTGTGAGGAATGCGGGAAGGCCTTCAGCCGCGTCGCCCACCTGACTCAGCACCGGAGGATTCATACCGGAGAGAAGCCCTACCGATGTGGGGAGTGTGGCAAAACCTTCAGCCGCAGCACCCACCTCGCCCAGCACCAGCGTGTGCACACGGGGGAGCGGCCCTACGCGTGCGACACGTGCGGCAAGGCCTTCGGCCAGAGCAGCCACTTGGCCCAGCACCAGCGCACCCACTCCGGGGAGAAGCCCTACGCATGCAACACGTGTGGGAGAGCCTTCGGTGATTGCTCGGCTCTGATCCGACACCTGAGAATCCACTCTGGAGAGAAGCCGTATCAGTGTCAGGTTTGCCCCAAGGCCTTTGCGCAGAGCTCCTCCCTCACGGAGCACCGGAGGATCCACACGGGAGAGAAGCCCTATAAGTGCGGTGACTGTGCGAAGGCCTTCAGCCGCAGCTCGGCCCTCGGGGCCCACCTGCGCGTCCACATGGCGGTGCCGCAGCGACTGGAAACAGCCCTCAGGGCCCAGCATCTGAGAGAAGCCCTGAGTCGGGAAAGAGCCAAGAACGGGATGGGTGACTGACGAGTCGCCGAAACAATAAGGTGCCTGAGGGCAGACGCCGGGGCTGTCTGGGGACAACGCTGCATTGAGCACCAGTGGGAGGCCCCAGTGAACATAAAGTGACTCAGGCCAGCTGGAGAAGCTTCCGGAAGGATCCTGTTGTCCTCTATTTCCCATGCACGCCTGTCCTAGAGAGAGGACAGCTGAGCTGAGGATTGATTGGTTCTCAGGGCCAGGGCAAGTGTCTTTCAGAACTCAGTGGTCCCCAGATGCTCTGGGAAGGCAGACTTCAGCTTCTTGTTCTCACACGGCTGCTCTTCTCACCTGCTCTTCTGCTGCTCGGCCTGGAAGGGACGCCTGCCATGCCACCTCTGTGCCTTGGCACCTACTGCTTCTCCTCCAACCTACTGCGTGCCCGACTCCAAGGCTTACTTATGAGACTGCCTCTCCTGCGAAGCCCTCTCCAGACCCTGCATCTCTCTGCTGGTTTCTCTGTCTTGATCAGTGACCCTTGTCCAGCAGCTGTGTCTCCCTCCCCCTCTCCTTCCACATCCCACCGGCCACCAGCCCTTTTGGTTTAACCTACAGCTCACCTCTAATTCCTCCTCTCCTTTCCCACCACTGCTCCCTGGGTGAGCCTCGGCGCCTCCTTCCTGACCCCCTCCTGCCTTCATCCCCTCTCCCACGTCCTTCTCCTGGGGGCTCTTTCTATTACCCACATCTGAGGTGTCACTCCATGGCAGAAGGCTCTCCAACACGTCACCTACCGCAGAGCTTCCTGAACGGGTACAAGGATGCCGCAATATAGGTTGCTCTGGGCCCCAAGCAACCTGTTCGGCTATCCTCATATGTGCATACGAATATTGTCCTTTTTCTGTGTGTGCAGCGATGTGAAAATGGTTTCAAAGTACTGCCCTACAGGATAAACCAGACTTCTTCACCTGATGTTCATGATCGTTCGTGACCTGGCCCTGTCTGGCCTCATCGCCCCACCTTCCACACACCAGCCATGTGGAACCTCTACGGCTCCTAAAGAAGCCATATTTTTTCCCACCTACGTGCCTTTGTGCCTGTGCCTGGAACCCTCCTTTCCTCTTTCTGACACATGTGCCTCCAAGTGAAGCCTCCTCAAGCTGCCGGAGCAGACTTCAACCTGCCCTCCTGCTTCCAGAGCACCTCACAGTCACTCTCTTGCACCTTCTACCGTGTTGTTTTACTTACTTACTCCTTGCAGAGCTCAGGGTCTGTTCTCCAAGGACACTGTGAGCTGAGAGCAGGGGCCGTGACTTACTCTCAGTATCTACCACACACAGGACTCAGCAGGCCCTGACCGATGTCTCTTGAATCAGTGTGACCGGTGCCTTCCCTGAGGCAGTCACGGGGCTCTGCCCGACATCATCCTTACACACGTTTACACGGATGTCTCCCCACCAGCTGGGGACCCTGCAAGGAAGAACAATCTGACTTCCCTGGGCCCAGCGCCCAGACAAGCCTCGCACGCAGTGGCCTCAATAAAACGTTACTGTATCGAGTCTTCCCTGTCTAGGGCCCCTGGTGTCGTAGACGCCGTGGTCGCCGGCATTCTGTCAACACTCTCTGGCCGCCTTTCACGGTCCTGCACCCTCGTCCCACTGTAGATTCCTTGTCTGTAACTAGATGTTGCGGCTTCTGTTCCTTACTGTGAGGGTGTCAGTCCTTGTGCCTCTGTTTTTCCAGTGGTCCCATCACGTATGAACCGTTTGACCTGCCATGTTGTGTACGGGTCACTGTCACTCTCTCTCCCCGTGTATCTGCCTATATTTTAGATTCATTCCCTCTGTGGCATGAGTAACAGAGCCAGAAAGACTGAGGAGAGAGATTCCTAACAGGAAGATGAGACCCAGGGAGACGGACCTTGTGGCAGTATCTCTGAGAGAGCCTCAGACACAGCCAGAGACGGCCACCCTGTGGCAGAGGTTGAGAGGCTGCGAGAAAGACGACAGACCCGGGGGGAAGCTCAGGGATGAGAGACACACATTCCCAGTAAAATGACTGGACAGGCTTCCCGGAGGCTGCAGAGAACAGAAAAGGGATGGGCCTGAAATCGGGCTGTAGAGCCCCACTCCTCCCTGGGGCTGTTTTGGGGAGCTGAGTGACTTTCCTGAGTCTCAGTGACCTCCTGTCTGTAAAGCAGCAAGACCCACCTTGTACCGTGCCTGACCCAAGGCCTGGCCCTGGCCACTGGCTCTGGCGTGCAGCCGTCCTCAACAGCAGCAGGCCTCTCTGTCCCTAAGGAGCGGAATCCCCAACCCCCTGATGCTCTGGGCATCCCCACCGCCCATTTTGGGATAAGACATGTGTCTGCCTATGTCTTCCCAGAGATGGGGGCGATCAGGGAGAAAAAAGGAATCTTTACTGAGGGTCTGTGTGTGCTGGTCATTCTGCCAAATATTTTATGAACATTGTCTCAATTCTCACACAACACTCTGAGGGTAGGACAAACATCCCTATTTTATAGAGGATGAGAAGAGTGAAGAATGTAACTGACTGGCCAAAGTCACACTGCCCCGAACTGGAAGCACTGGGATGTGCGAGCTCACCCAAATCTGCCAGCAATTTCAATAAACAACCATACTATACTCAATGAACCAAGTAAAAAGACAAATTCTAACAGATTGAATTTCTTTTAAATCCAGCCATATGTTCTTTGGAAGAGACACACTTAAAACAAGGATATGGGAAGTTGAGGGTAGAGGAATAGAAAAAACATACAAGGCAGGCATGAAGCTGAAGAAAGCCAATGGAGTTACAGTAATTTCAGGCAAAATGGACATTAAGGTAGAAAACCATTATAAGGGTCACAGAGTCATGATATTTTTACAAAAGAATCCATTAAGAAGATACAATAGTTCAAAACTAGACACATCATGTAAGCCTTATGGAACAGAATCACAACGAGAAACTGATGAAACCTTAAGTGTACTTGAAAATGCTAAGACATTCTTTATTATGATGGCCAAAAAAAATTCTTTTGGATGAAATAATGGCTGAAAACTCAAAATTTGGCAAAAGATATAAACTTACAGGTTCAGAAAGCACAATAAACCCTAACACAGCATAATATCTAAGAAATCCATGCCCAGACACATAATACACTACCGAAAACTAAAATTTTTAAAACCACTGGAGAAAAACTATGCATAACATTAAGGGGACAACACAAAAGATCATGGGTTTCTCCTCAGAAACCATGGAGGCTAGAAAGCAAAGAAACAACATTTTAAACTAAAAACAAAACAAAATATCCCCCATCAACCAAGAATTCTATATCGAATGAAATACATTTCAAGAACAAAGGCAAGGCTGGGCACAGTGGCTCACGCCTGTAATCCTAGCTCTCTGGAAGGCCAAGGCGGGCGGATTGTTTGAGCTCAGGAGTTCGAAACCAGCCTGAGCAAGAGCAAGACCTCATCTCTACTAAAAATAGAAATTAATCGGACAACTAAAAATATATAGAAAAAATTAGCCGGGCATGGTGGCACATGCCTGTAGTCCCAGCTACTTGGGAGGCTGAGGCAGGAGGATTGCTTGAGCCCAGGAGTTTGAGGTTGCTGTGAGCTAGGCGGATGCCGTGGCATTCTAGCCAGGGCAACAGAAGTGAGACTCTGTCTCAAAAAAAAAAAAAAAAACAAAGGCAAAATACACACATTCCAAATGAAGCAAAACTAAGATGTAAATTGGCTGACGTCAGGCCTGCTTTAAAGGAAATGCTAAAGGAAGGAAGTTTGGTAGAATCGCCAGTCCAGCCGTCCCAGTATTTCCCACGGCACCGTCAGCAGCCAGAGTCTGTAGCCGGATTAATGTCCTAGAAAAACGTGAAAAAAGAGAAGTGAGAGGGGAGGGAGAAGCCTGCGCCCTCCCACGATCGACATGGCAGACCTCCCTGACGCCCCTGGGGAAGGAAATGGCTTGGTCAGCCACTGGCCAAGACCCCCCCAGGTGGTCCCTCCAGGTGATCTAGTCCGGCGGTCCCCATCCTTTTTTGCACCAGAGACCGCTTTCATGGAAGACAGTTTTTCCACGGAGGCGGGGTGGGGTGGGAGATGGTTTCAGGGTGGTTCAAGCTCATCACATTTATTGTGCAGTCAACCCGCTCTGCTAATGATGATCTGTATTTGCAGCCGCTCCCCGGCGCCGGCATCACCGTCTCAGATCATCAGGCGTCAGGTGCTCGCTAAGGAGCCGCAGCCTGGATCCCGCGCACGCGCAGTTTGCAGCGGGGTTTGCGCTCTCGGGAGACTCCAACGCCGCTGCCGCTCTGCCAGGAGGCGGAGCGCACACGGTGATGCCAGAAAACAGAGGAAGCTTCGCTCAGCTGCTGTGCGACTGGGTTCCTCACAGGCCGGTACTGGTCCGGCCTTGGGGGGTGGGGACCACAGCTCTAGCTGACTGAGCCACTCTCTGCCCCAGGGCCTTTGCACGTGTGGTTCCCCCGCCTGCATCTCTGCCCCAGCCAGTGCGCCCGGAAGGAGGCGCGGAGAAGGGCACGACCCAGGCAAAGGCAGGAGGTGGAGCCCGGCCCGCAGGACCGAGGGACATGGCACCTGCCACCAGGAGCTCCACGGGGTCGCTGAGCTCCGACTCGAAGCGGTTGGGCCCCCAGGAGCGGTAGCGGCAGCTGTAGTTGCCGGCGTGCTGGGGCCCCACGTAGGTCAGCACGAAGTCCGTCCAGGGCTGCGTGGCCGAGAGCCTGTGCAAAGCCTCCGTCTCTCTCACGCGCAGCAGCTCGACGGTGACGTCGGGGAGGTGGCCTTCGCAGCGCAGGACGGCGTCACGGCCCGGGGTCGCCGCCCCGCTCCACAGCGCCCGCAGCCGCGGCCGGGGAGGCGGTCCTGGGCGGGCAGGGGGTCAGCGCGTGAGGCCCAGCCCAGTGCCCTCACCTGCCCGCGCCCTCCGCGCCGCCGGGCCGGGCCTCAGCCGCGCTGAGCCCCTGCCCGGCTGCATCCCGAGCCGGGCAGCTTTTCTGCGCGCGCGGGCTCCGCCTGCACCGCAGCGTCCTCGCCTCCCGCGTCCCCGCCGCCCTCCCCCGGACCCTGCGCGTCCCCAGCGCCAGGTGCTCTGAGGCTTCTTGGGTCCCCATCGGGCACTTAGGACACGTGCAGGGAAGGAAGAAATGACCAAGGGAAACGGTGTTCCTTATAGAGGGCAAAATTCTGGCGGCGGAACCTGTGCCCAGAGGCTCTGCGCCGCCCCTGCCCCATGGAGGCCTCGAGGGGAAATCGTAAGAACAGACCCCAGGGAGGGCGAGGGCCTGGGGAGAACTACACGTGCTGTGGGCCAGGGGCCCAGGGAGGGGCAGGGTGACAGTCCAGCATGACAACTGACGGCGCAGCACGGGGAAACTGAGGCACCGACAGGTGCAAAGCCGGCAGGAATTTGCACAGGAGGACCCGGCCCGTCCTCCACGCTCCCCACTGGCTCACGTCCGTGCGAAATGCGCCAAAGCGTCCCGGGACCCTCGGCCGCCGCCCCCAGCCCCGTCCCCGTCCCTGCAGGCGCAGGCGATGGGGCCCGAGGGTCGCGGTCCTCGCGCGCTCACCGTGCACCTGCAGCTCCACGCGCGCGCTGGGCGCCGAGCCCGAGAACGGCGGCTCGGGGTCCACGTAGACGCAGCTGTAGTTGGCCGAGTCGGCCACCGACACGTTGGGCAGCTCGAACTGGGCTTCGGTCCCCGCGGGGCTCAGCAGACGCTGCACCCGGCGCCCGCCCTCGTCCTCGCGCACCAGGGCGAAGCGCAGGCCGACCAGGGGCGCCTGGCACCGCAGCCGCACGAGCGTGCCGGGCTCTGGGCTGCGACTCGCCGGCTCAGCCGAGAGCCCGGGCGGGGGCAGCTTCTCTGCGGAGGAGGATGCGGGCTGAGCCCGGCGCCCGGCGGGTGGCCCGGGCCGGACGCGTGGCCCGCTTCGCGGTCTTTGCCCGGCCTGAGTCTTCCGCCTGCGGTGATGTGCCCGGCTCCCTCCCTCGCCTCCTCAGGGAGGCCCGCGGGGACCACCCTGCTGAAAGCCGCACCACCCGCCGGCCTCTGGTCCCCTGTCCTTGGAGCTCTCTCACACATCCCTTCACTGTTTCTTATTAATTTGTTTATCTACAAAAACAGACGGGGCAGGAGGACGTTTTGTCCAGGGCTTGGTGTTTTCCTGCACGTGGCTGCTCGAGTGGAGTCGGGCGCGGTGCGCGCCGTCTGGGGGATGCGCTCGCTTGCAGCTCTGACTTGGGTGGGGCAGGGGCAATATACGTAACCTAAACATTTGTACCCCCGTAATACACTGAAATAAAAAAAAAAAAATAGTGGATTCGCCCCGAGACTGTCTGCCGGGCACCGCCCCAAGGCCCGCCCACCTGGGGCACCTGTGAGCTCGCTGGGCGTGGGGCTCGCAGTCCAGTGCTCAGTCAGGGTTTGCCAGATATCTCTGAGCCCACGGCGAGCGGTCGGAGGAGCAGCGCAGCCCGGCCGCCTGGGCAGGCCTCGGCGCCACGCAGACCTGGGGG